TTTCTCTGAAATTGTACCACAAGGTTCAATACCACAAGAAGAAGGTTGGGATTCATTTTGGGGGTAAATACCCAAATCGTGCAGGAATTAGGGGCCAAAAAGGGTCTAAAACAAGCATTTTTCTAGTTTTCAGACAATAACTTGTGTTTAAGTGTATGTATGTCTCTTAATTTGTACCACATTTAACATTTCTTCAAAATTATTTTTTTTTAAAAGGGGGGGGGGGGGGTATTTTTTTTTTAAGGGGGGCAATTCTTTTTCCTCCCCCTTTTGGGGGCGGTAAAATATTCAATTACAATCCAAATTCAGACCTGTATCAAACTTGAATATTGTGTCCATTTTTGCCCCAACTGTTCAGGGTTAGACCTCTGCGGTCGTATCCAGCTGCGCTCGGCGAAGCAGTTTATTCTAAAATATTTTGTTTTCCCTTCAGATATGACACGATGCAATTTTTGTCGAGCCTGCGACTTTTGTCGCAGAAAGCTCGACATAGGGACAGTGATCCGGCGGCGGCGGCGGCGTTAGCTAACTTCTTAAAAGCTTTATATTTTAGAAGGTGGAAGATCTGGATGCTTCATACTTTGTATGTGGATGCCTCATGTTACGAAGTTTCCGTCAGTCACATGTCCAATGTCCTTGACCTCATTTTCATGGTTCAGTAACTACTTGAAAAAAAGTTAAGATTTTTTGTAATGTTAAATTCTCTCTTATTATAAGTAATAGGATAACTATATTTGGTATGTGCGTACCTTGCAAGGTTCACATGCCCGTCAGACACACTTGACCTCGACCTCATTTCATGGATCAGTGAACAAGGTTAAGTTTTGGTGGTCAAGTCCATATCTCAGATACTATAAGCAATAGGTCTAGTATATTCGGTGTATGGCAGGACTGTAAGGTGTACATGTCTAACTGGCAGGTGTCATCTGACCTTGACCTCATTTTCATGGTTCAGTGGTTATAGTTAAGTTTTTGTGTTTTGGTCTGTTTTTCTTATACTGTATGCAATAGGTCTACTTTATTTAGTGTATGGAATGATTGTAAGGTGTACATGTCTAGCTGGCAGGTGTCATCTGACCTTGACCTCATTTTCATGGTTCAGTGGTCAAAGTTAAGTTTTTGAGTTTTGGTCTTTTTTTCTAATACTATATGCAATAGTTCAACTATATTTGGTGTATGGAAATATTTTATGATCTATATGTCAGTCACGCAGGTTTTATTTGACCTTGACCTCATTTTCAAGGTTCATTGCTCAGTGTTAAGTTTTTGTGTTTTGGTCTGTTTTTCTTAAACTATAAGCAATAGGTCAACTATATTTGTTGTATGGAAGAATTGTTAGCTGTAAATGCCTGCCTAGCATGGTTCATCTGACCTTGACCTCATTTTCATGGTTTATTGGTCAATGTCTAGTTTACTTGGTTAATGTTAAGTATATGTGACAGTTGTAATAAAGCTTTATATTTTGGACTATCAACACAATATCAATGATTAGTAAAGAAGGCGAGACATTTCAGCGTGTGCACTGTTGTTTAAGTTGTATGTGAAAACTGTTATTTCTAGGAAAATGATTATGCAGGCGTCACACTGTCCCGAAATTGACACCAGATGGTCATACGAATATGGAATTTTGAATTTCGTGCAGAGATGGTCCCGAGCTTGGTCATCGGCCAATATTCAGCCGAAGCAGGTACGATGCCTACAGGAGGTCACACTATTTCACCCGAACAACACACGAAGATGTGAATTTTCATTACGATGTTTATACGCAGGACACACGAAGGCAACACAATGGCTATACGATGCCGTATTGAGAGTACGATGCGTTCGAACTTGGTCGGGACCTCCCAATGGTATAAAACCTTCTGTTGACCGTGGGAAATTTAATTTAATTACCTAATTTTTTGGAACTTTATCCTTGCTTACAAGTTATTTTAATTTTTATATTAAAGTAATTTTTATTCAAAGTTTCAGAAATAAAATTTATTACTCCATACACATTTTGCTTAAAGTTACGTTATGTGTTCATCATCACAATGTTAATTTCTATGTATTGATTTTATTATCACTGCTTTGTAGGAATAGTTGTCCTGCCATGGCACCAAACAAACCTTTGAGGTAAAGTAGTGACCCAGGTCTATTCTAATTTGCCTCCCCTCCCTCTCATGATAAACATCCAGAAGTACTTTGTCATTTCTCCATGCCTCTGGGATGACATTCTGGTTCTGGTCCTCTAAGTCCATCAGGTTGTTGTCGGTGGTTGAATATCTCAGTCTGATGAGACTGTGAAGGCTAACACGAGTTGTGATGATTAATCTGCATGTCTCTGGCCTTTGGTTCATGTTCCTGAGCAAAACTCGGAACTTGTGCGCCAGAATACCAAAGGCATTCTCCACTTCACTATGGCTCTGGAGAGTCTATAGCTAAATATTCTCTGATAGAAAACTGGTTCACCAGGCGCTTGTTAATCACAAAAGCATTGTCCCTACTATGTAGTATGGTACAGGAACATCACCACCAGGTAGAGACTTCTCTTCAGGGAGATTGAATATATTGTTCGAACTTTCCAGGCCTTACTTCAGTTCTGAACCATTGTAGATACTGGTACGTTGATGGAACCATCAGAGCCGACATCAATCAATTGAAACCAGGGCAATGAGAACAATGGAGAAGAAGCCCTTGTAGTTTCTGTACACAGAGCCAGTATTCAAAGGACAGGACACTGCTACATGCTTGCCATCCAGATCACCACAACCGTGTGGAAATTTTCATTTCTTCTCAAGCTGCTTAGCAATGGCGGTCCATTCCTCAGTTGTAGTAGGACACTGGATAACCTCAACAGCAAACTCGGCTTTAGTGGCATCGCAGACATCATTGGTGATAAGGGAGATTGTGTTTAGAGCAACTCTGAAGTTGCAGGATAGGCTTGGATAATTGTCACCGCATGCCATGTGTCGTAGAGTGATGGACAGCTTAAGACGAGGAGGAAGAAACTTTCTGTGCCATCTATTCTGTTTTATGCCCTTCGTAGGGCCTCATCGTAGACGAAGGCAGTCTTGTGTAGTTGTAGAAGACCTTTTCATCTTTTGTCTTCAGCTCCTTTAGTAGAGTGCTATAGTAGCCATATCGTTCTATACAGCCATTTAGTGACCAGCATAGACCTCTGTTTGTCCCTGCACTAGAAAATAAAAAGCAAAACAAGACAAGGACATTATCGAATATTAAAAAGGCAAATAGCAAGATATGAAAAAGTAAAATAAAAGACATTTTTACCTGTAAAAGGAGTTGCTGGACATGTAAGAGTTGCTCATCATTTTCTCTGAGATGCACCAAAAGAAGCAATGCTGCTGCTTTCTTTTTTCTGATTGTCTCATCGTCAAAGTATGCCGTACTGCAGAATCTAAATTGTGATAAATTGTGATTGTAGCTTCGGGAGTTACACACGCCTCTGTTCTGTAGACTTGCCAAGGACTGCATGAGGAAGATGCTCTGAGGCTAGCCTTTTATATGTCTACGTTACCATAACACTTGTGAAACGCTTGAGGTACTCAAATTCGGCAGTCTTCGCCAACATCGTGGTCCCATCTCGATGTCATCGTACTATATAACGATGGCTACACGACGGCATTGCGAGGGCTTCACGTAGTCGTGTGGCCTTCTTTAGACAATCTGGCAGCTTCTTGTTTCCTTCGCATTGTCTTCGTGAGGCGAAAATGTCCGATGGCACCGATGGTTACACGAAGTGAAGACTGAGATCACACGATTTGACAAGATGCCCTCACGATGGCCTTACGAAGGGCAAAATAGACATACGAATTCAACACGAAAATGAACCGTCGCAAGGTCTTTCGGAAATTTTGTGGCATGCCAAAGATTTTGCCACCGCTCATAAAGTCCAATCTTGTCTCATGGCTCATGCTTCTTTAAACAAAACTCCGAAAGCAAGCGTAATGCGTTTTTTGTGCAAAAAAACTCAACTCCTCCGGAATTAATGCTTTTTTACTTTAATATGCCTGCATTTGAATTTTACAAGCCCAAAGAAGCAGTGCAAATGCAACTACTGAAATAAAGTTAAATGCACTAGTTAAAGCACCCATTATTTGCTTTTCCTATGACAAGCCGCAAAGGAGAGTAGCATAGGAAAGTTCAATAAAAAAAACACCATACATTACTTCGTGTCACTGTTACAACTGTAAAACTTGCTTTGAGATCAAAGAAAAACTTCTATTTATGTTACAAATCATATTTTAAAAAAGACAACCGAAAGGATGAAAGGACCAAAATAATATAAAAGACTGAATAAGAATATATGACTATCGATTCCTGTTGAAACAATTTGTTTGTTTGTTTCTGTGTTGCAAAAATATAGACGTTTAGGTAAAATCACAAATACAAAAAAAAACACGTCACGTTCAATGAAAGTATACTATTATGCTATATCGTAACTCTTTGTCATAGACAGAAATCGCAACGAAAGTTATTCAAGTCACGTTCAATTTTTTAAAAGAAATTGGATTGAAATATGAAAAAAATAAGCGAAACAGAGTCGTTAAGTCATTCTTCGATTTGTTCAATTCTTATCTAATCTTTTTATGCAAAAATCAATAGAACAAAACATAGAAATTAAAACCAAATAAATGTCTAATAATAAAATCTTCTTATAATTGAACTGGAAAAAGATAAATAAAATATTTATCGATAGTATCCTGAAAAGGTTTTGTCACACAAAGTTCTGCTTTACGCCGATAGAACATCAATAATCCTAGGCAACAAAAAATCAATGTCACTGATGTACATTGAATGTTTTACCATTTCTTTGCGATAGCAGTTTCCAAAATATAGTGATTTTGAATTTTCTTGTCAGTTGTGAACACTCAGCATTAATAACGTCCTTGCTGCGTTTGTAAAAGGTTCAAAACAAATCGATACTAGAAAGAATCTAGTCGACTTAGATCAATTAGGCTTGATTATTGGTATTTCGCTACAGAAACATATTGATCAGTTTCAGAGTTTACAATTTGAATACAGGATAGTTTACAGGCTTTCAAAATATCTTTTCCTGACAAGTGATTTAACAGTGCGGTCAGCTAATTAGGAAGAGATTACATATAAAACTTTGCATACGGACGGAACTCTTACAAAACAACCATACCATTATGCATTGATTTACCGTTTTTACAATGTGCCACATATTACTATAGTTTACTATGTGCAACATTTTATTTAACCTGTATTAACACAGTTTTTGCTGCTATGTTAAAGCTTTTTGAACATATTGTGTGGGATTTATTAGACTTGAAAGCAATTAAGATGAATCTTAGAAGATAAACAGGATCAATTCTACATTTAATAACCGAAGTTTGACTACTACTAGCATTGTCGCACCAGATATTGGAAAATTCATTGAGAGAGTTATGCGCATACCAATTATCTAACTTTGATTTAAACGGTTCAGGAAATAATCTGTGTAAGTGTAGAACTTTCGAATAAAAATATCTTCATTGGAAACAAAAGCGACATGGCACTGGAATTTGATTCGGATGAAAGTGACGCGGAGGAAAGATCACCGTCTAGAGAAAGTAGGAAGTACAAAGTTCATTCGTTAGATTCTGGGTATAATAAACAAAAACCAAAACGTGATCTTATAGATACACTTTTCACTTATGTAAATAGAGATTTATTGATATGTAAATTATTTTACTTCTTTTTCTTTGCGGCATTTGGATCACTCTTCCCACTGCTTGCAATTTACTTCAAGCAGTTGGCTATGAATCCAACTCAGAGTGGTCTTTTAATGGGATTCCGACCATTTATAGAATTTTGCAGTGCGCCATTTTGGGGAAGTCTTGCTGACAGGTATAGAAAAGCCAAAGAACTGCTCCTGTTTTCGTTGTTGTGTTGGATAGTATTCACTCTTGCTATAGCGTTTGTTAAACCACCGCATGACCATTGTTTGACCGGAAATGCCACTCATGAGATACCTCCCGGATATGTCCTTAGGTATAAACGCGCTCTTAATCAAGGTCCCAGTTACAAGGTTATACCTAGCTCAACTACAATTCAACCAGTTGACATAGTCGGAATTCTTCAAAGAAAGACAACTATTCATCCTCATATACATACAGTGGCTCATCATGTATACAAAGGCATACACAATGTACTTCAAAACAGCAATAAGACATCTGAAATGAAAGGTAGTACCCACCACCCGATTATTGTTCAGATCCATAAAGGAATGCACAAACTTCTAAACATGTCCACCACTAAGCCAACACAGAGTCTTGAGACAACAACGATAAATAGAAAATCTGATGATTCTATCAAACCTATGTTTAGTTCTATATATTACGACAGGAAAGACGTTCAGGACACATTTTTCACTTTACTTTTATTGATTGTCATTGGTGAATTCTTTAGTGCACCGGCCATTACGTTTGTAGATTCAGTAACACTTGAATATCTTGGCGAAGATATTGACAATTATGGCCGTCAACGTATGTTCGGCTCGCTAGGTTGGGGTCTAGCAATGTTTTTCGTTGGTCTTGCGTTAGATCATTCATCAACTTTTCCAGATCATCCTTGTGGTATTAAGCACATTGCTGAAAAGAATTATACAATTTGTTTTGCAGTCTTTTCTGTCTTGATGAGTTGTGCTTTGATAACTGCAACCCAGCTCCAATTCAGACACCATCAAGGCGGGAGAGACATACAGCTTATTGAAATTGTAGTTCGGGTAAAAGATAGGGTGATGGAGAAAATAACGGGCGAGAAACGTCCTCATTCTGGGCTTCTTTTCGACGATGCCGACAGTGATATAAACTACTTAGAATCAAAAGCTGCTGTTCAAAAGCAAGCATCGGAGCAACAGGAAGGCATTGACTGTCAGATTACTCTTGACAAGCGACCGGATATGGTCACTGATGCTGTATCCCAACCGACAGAAGACGCCGTTGAAGAACCATTTTTAGGAAAATGGATCGCTGTTATAAAGATGCTTGCAACATTCAAGTATATTTCAGTACTATTTGTGTCCTGGTTTATGGGATTTGGTATTGGTTTGATATTCACTTTCCTGTTTTGGCATTTACAAGACATTGGTGGTAGTCCTACATTGTTTGGTGTGGCCTCCATACTTAATCATGTTTCTGAATTGCTAGCATTCTTCTTTAGTCGTAAAATAATTTCTTCTTTTGGTAAGTATTTGTAAAATTAGATCAAAGAACACCATATAATCCCTCCAAATTACATGAAATATATGCATAACTTGACTTTAAAATTAGTCTAAGAAGCCTATCATGGTATTGTTCGTGGGTGTGATAATTTCTGTTTATTTCAAAACAAATAAGAGAATAGCAGAGAAAAATCGATTACAGTAAATTTCCTCGTCCTAAGCGACTTTTTTTTCGAATATCACATTATATTTGTCATCTTTTAAATATCTGATCAGAGTGGCAAATTGAGAAAAGCACTATTTTTTTTTATCTTGATCTAATCACAAACTTTTGTGTACGATAAAAACGCTGCTTAAAGTTCTCAATACCAACGACGAGTCTAACATGTCGTTAATTTAAGAGAAAGTTTCACTGTGAAAAAAAAACCCCAAAAACCCCGCATGCAATCCCCCAAAAACGACAAAAGACACTAAGTCTACAAATCATTAAACAGAAAACAGGATACTTAGCTGCACGATCCCGATAAAAAAAAACCGGGATTAACTCAAGTGCTTCTAAAAGGGACAGTAGATCCTGCTCCAATAATGAAACTGGCCGTGTTTCCTTTAAAAACACCGAATAATCATAATAATTGTCAGTTGATAACGCATTATACAATAGTGGATTGTTGAATCCAAACACGAATGAATCGGATGAGTAGTAATAATATTTAATACTGTCATAAAAGTATGCATGTCAGTGTTATGCTTGTATACAGAGCTCGTAAATCAAAACATGCTCCATGGTAACCAGTTGGTTCTTTTGAAAATTCTTAATTTTTGATGTTTACTTATCAAAGCATTATACATATATTCATTATATATACATTTGAGTATACTGATATTTGAATATTTTATTTTACGGTTCTATACACATTGATTTTATTTTCAATAAAAAAATAAACATTAGTGAACACAAATGGTCCGACATCCTGTCCAATGTATAGTTTCGCATTTCACAATGTCTTGATTTTTCTCAGACTGCTTATGGTGTCAATTTACTAAATCCTTTGGAGATGTATTGATTGATAATTGAATACAACCATACATTGTCTATTTATTTGTTGAAATTGACCGAGAACTGTTTCTTTGTCTTAGAAGAATTCGTGCAGCTTATCATGAAAGTTTATTTTATAATTCATCAATTCAAAAATCGGTATATCGATGCTTGCATACATCTAGTTTCAATCATATTTAGGACGATGATGACAGATCGTAATTGACAGATTATGTAAGCTTGACAAAACGACAAAAGTATGTAAGAGTATGTTTTTAAAAGTTTATTTAAGTTAAATTGCTCTCATGTATTTAGAATGAGTATTTGAAAACCTGAACCCCAGTGCTTGTGTTTAAATAGCAATATTGCATTTTTAGTAGATAAAAAGATAAAAATTAAGAAGGGACAGTGGGTAATGAAATTGCTCTGATTATAATCTGGTATCAAATGAACTTCACAAATAAGATAAAATGCTATTGCAATGTCATTTAGAGATACTAGTACATAACTAACTCTTAAACTAAAGCTGTATGCTAATTACTATAAAGATAAGGAAATTCAGTATGGTATGATTACCAATAAGACAACTATCCACATAAAGGGCGAAGATAAATCTCTTGTCATAGGTGATCGCAAAGGTAGACAATAGGTTTAAACATGAATTTGGACGGAGTTTATTGATGCGTAATTTCAAACTTCTCACTCACCAATTGAGTAAAATCCAAAAGAACGTTAATTGCTACATTTACTGATGGTCTGGATATAGGTTGTGTTCTTCAATTCTGTATTTTCAAGCCATTTTATCTATATATTATTTTATTCTTATAAATTTGCCCATTATTCTCTTTTCTATATATTTTAGCAACCCATTAAAATCTTTATTTTTTTTACTGTGACTTGACTATAGGTGTTGCTGTTTACCTTTTACCTATTGTTCTACAGATTGTAAAATTGACAATGCAATTAGGACATTTAAATTGACCAGTTGGTATTATTAGAGTTGATGAATAGATGATCATTCATGCAATTAGGGTCTACCGTGATGCTGTCATGGCTATTAGATAGGTAAAAGTGAAGGACAGCCTCAAGGTAGACTCTAAATGCATGAGTGATCATCTAATCATCAACTCTAACAATACCAACTGGTCAATTTAAATGTTCCAATTGTATTGTCAATTTTACAATCTAGTTAAACAATAGGTCAAGGTAAACAGCAACACCTATAGTCAAGTCACAGTCTGCCTATTTTTACTTTTCATTATATTTTGGCCAATTTTTCTGTAGTATTGGCCCATTATTCTATATTCTTAAGACCCTATCCGGATCTTCTTTATTGTTCTTTTACCCATTATTCTCTATTCTTTAGACCCTATCCGGATCTTCTTTATTGTTCTTTTGCCCATTATTCTCTATTCTTTAGACCCTATCCGGATCTTCTTTATTGTTCTTTTACCCATTATTCTCTATTCTTTAGACCCTATCCGGATCTTCATTATTGTTCTTTTGCCCATTATTCTCTATTCTTTAGACCCTATCCGGACCTTCTTTATTGTTCTTTTGCCCATTATTCTCTATTCTTTAGACCCTATCCGGACCTTCTTTATTGTTCTTTTACCCATTATTCTCTATTCTTTAGACCCTATCTGGATCTTCTTTATTGTTCTTTTGCCCATTATTCTCTATTCTTAAGACCCTATCCGGACCTGCTTTACTGTTCTTTTGCCCATTATTCTCTATTCTTTAGACCCTATCCGGACCTGCTTTACTGTTCTTTTGCCCATTATTCTCTATTCTTTAGACCCTATCCGGACCTGCTTTACTGTTCTTTTGCCCATTATTCTCTATTCTTTAGTCCCTATCCGGACCTTCTTTACTGTTTATTTGCCCATTATTCTCTTCTTTTTATTTCAGCACCCCATTAAAATAATTTTTTTTAGCCTATTTCATCTGTTCTTTATTTTTTTGAACATTTTTCTGTAGTATTTGCCCTTTATTCTCTATTCTGTAAACGTTATCCGGACCCTCTTTACTGTCCTCCGTGTTCCCGATCTTATGGCAACAGATCATTGCCATTTTAAATGTCGCTGAGAGAGAAGATTTCTTCAAATAGTCAGGCAAATCTGTACAGCTAATAAAAGAAACTTGTGTGGGATGATTTCAACGGAAATGGTCATTTCCAATTCATTTGTAGTTTGTGATATTTTTTACAAGTGTTAATCAACGCAAAAGTATAGATGATCAATTCTATTCAGTTTATCACTGTCATTTTAATGTAGAAGTTCTCTCTGTCTATAGATACTAAATTATGATGTGGGAGTCTCAAATGAAATTGAATCAATGTCGTACACTTTCTCTGTGAATCAATACAACGTAAAGAATGAAGGCAAGAAATCAATATAGAAACTGAAATAGTGTTTGCAAACACGAGTTTTATAAATGGATGGCTTCCCTCAAAGAACATAACTGTTGGATATATATGATTGATTAAGGATTGACTGATTAGTTAAAATATTTTATATAAAGTTAACACGGAAAAAAGTTAGTACTTTTACGTAACAACAAGGGTTTTCAAATTCCCGGAGTTCAGGATGTACACCTCTGAGGAGCCAAACATTTCTAGAATTAAACTTTTTTTCTTAACCTGATTTTTGGCATTATATGACTGTAAAAAATGATTGGTGAAGAAAAAATCATATGGTGGTGCACTTCTTTTTTTGCTACAGCCATTTGAAAGTACCCAATTTTGATGATTTTTCCCATTTTTCATCAATTTTTACCCATTTTTGGGCTATTATCATGAAAAAAATCACAGTTTCACAATTAAACTTTTTTTTCATACTTTCACTAAAGATGAAGTGGACGAATATCGTGTCAAATTTACCATTTTGGAAATTTGAGATTTTTCTCTTTTTTTAGAACAAAAAGCATATTATTTCAACTTCGTTGTTATAAATGATTGAAAAAATACATATCTAAGAAATTTGAATTGAAAAAAATGATATGGGATGTACATGTATCTGGTAAAATCATTTCTTGTACCCCTCACCCATTTTCTCAACATTTTGGCTAATGAGACTGACTTGATTGGTTATAAAATTTGAAAATTTTATTACTCAAAAACTACTTATTGTAGATACACAATTTTTCACAGAGGTAAGTTTGATCTTCTGCTTCAAGAAATGTCGAGCGAAGGGTAATTTTGAAATAACGTCATATCTCATTTTGAGATGACCTCTTTGCGGTGTTTGTTTAAGCCATGTCGATTTCTGTAAAAATCAGACAACAGCTTGGAATTAAAAAAGTAAAACATTAAAGTGTCAAGGTTAATTTTCCGGATAAAACGGAGAGTCTTGCTTTTCTTCCATTTGCTTAATCTCGTACAAATAAATGATATATTTGTCTATAATGTGCATACGCATAATATATTTGGTTTGTTCAGTTGGTCCGACCCTTTCGAGGACCCATTAAAATCTTAAGTACTCTATAGAATGTGTACCTTCTTTTCCTATTCTTTTGATTAAAATGTTTCCGTATAATTGATTACTAGTATGTCATATTTATACAGATGGAGGAGCGCGGATGTTTTGTTCAATTGAGTTTTTGCATTTCATATACCAAAATATACTTCAGAAACTAGGAGGTTTGCTTTAGTTAAAATAATTACTACGTCCTTTTTTTGTGAAGCAACACAGGTTGAACAGTGTTTTCTACTAACCTCGTGTGAATGTTTACCACGAATCGCTTTAAAAAACTTTGGTTGACATAACAGATGCCATTTTTCAGATTTTTCCATTTATTGTCATGAAAACAAGAAATGGGACTTAGCCTAGATACTCTCAATTTGTAAAGTCAAGAAGTCTACAGAGACATTGTGACAGTTAAAAAAAGTATTAGATATGTAAGATCAGCATAGAGCATTACTTACAGTATTTTAAAACAATCTTATCAATTGATTACGTCACTAAAACAAGGTCTCTCGGGACTGA